AAACACGTGCTCTTTCTGTCTCTCATGGTTCTTTCTTCTCTCATGGTACAAAAACTCTCGTGCGGTATAAAGACACTCTCTCCTCTCTGAAGGTATAATTGCCATATCGAGCAAGATCAGCACACAGGACCTGCAAGCAAACAGGGCTCACTTTACTGGGATGCTTTGCTGGCAGACTGCATCAGATCACACACAACACCTTGCACACTGGATCTGTGAAGATTTTTCTGAGGGCGGCAAGCTCACGTGAACGCGGCCACACACAAGCTTGGCGCAGGCAGGCCTTCTCATGTGGGAGCCTTCTGCAACAGACACACGGAGAACTATATAGTCACATGGATTTTGCCCCGCTCAAATTTACAAGGTCTCTGTCAGGCTGCTGGCACACAAGACTCCCACACCAACTGCGTCCCTGCTGCTGTGCTCAGGTGCTTTGCCACAGGGCCTTCTTACACAGGAGGTATATACCAAAGAGGTCAGTGTATGCGTGATGTATAAAAACATTTGGGGCCTAGAGTGCTTCATAGTGGAATCCCAGTATGCGACGCATAACATGTAGAATGTTTCTTGGAAAATCTAGCCATAAAGGGGTTCATACACAAACATACACACACAAGACCTCTGTATGCATATACCAGTTCGTAGGCCTTGCAAGAGCTCAACCCTGTCGTTCATGCGCAGTGAACCGAAGATGCAGCGCCAAGCGGTACTTCTCTGCCATCTTGGCACAGACCTGCCACGGCTTTACCCCACGACAAGCTGCCTGGGCCATTCTCTGGGCCTTCTGCATCATGTCTTCGCCAGCAAAACACCAGATGACTCGTGGATTGAGGATGTCCGACATCAGCGCCAGGTGCTGCACCAGGTGACACTTCGAGGTCACGTTGAACAGCTGTATGCCGTTCTCGGCAAAGTGACGGGCCACTTTGGCCTGCAACACCAGCATTCCATTGCAGCTTTCTCTGAAGGTTGCGGCAGCTTCTGGTGGTAGAGCGAAACTGCGCCGGTGCTCGCTCACAATGTCGTCCATGCGGTTGTTGAGCTTCCTTGGAAGCTCCACTATATGGGACAAAACTTACACACAAGGCTGCGTGGGACCTGGTTGGTAACCCCCTACCCACACATCTTCGTCCGAAAAAGAATGTGGCGCACATGAGATCCGTGCCGAAATTTGTGGGCAAAAAAGTGCTTAAACCAGGCTATATGGAGAGGTAGCATCACAGAGTTTCTGTTATATACTCACATGCTGCGGGGCATTATATATACTTTTCCATACAGTCACCAAAAAACCCTTTAAGTTAAACAACAAAACAGAAAGCGGAAAACCTGTCTACCACATCAGCGGCAAGCAGCAGCATCAGGAGGATCTCTCGGTGAATGCGAAGACCAGCGTTGTGGCGTGATTCGAACACCATCCGAAGCGCATGACCGAAGTGTCGGATCTCCGACGCCTTTCCGCGCAACTTCGGATACCCCACTCGACGAAACATCGTCAATTTGTTGAGGTACCTAAAGCGTGCCTGCGGCGGTGTACGGAGCCGTCGGTATGCTTCCTGGAGCTCATTCCACACCACTGTCAAGTTCGCAGCCGGCTCGCCATCCATGATGTACGTGACCAGGAGCTCCAAGCAAGAACCAAACTGATATTGGTCGCTTCCCAGGTGCTTGGCGTGCATAAGGTCCAGACCCACTGAATGGCAAGAAGCGCCAGGAAGGCGAAAGAGAGGGCACGCGCTCCTCTCTGGCCACAATCGCCAGTTCGCAGCCGTCCAGATGGTTCCACGCCACGGCGCCGCATCAGAGAAGTTTGTCCACGTGGCTTCGCCTCCGCTTGTAGCTCGGCAGATCGGACAACAAGAGTTGGCGTTTGCGAAGTGAGGCAACTCGAGCACGGAGTAGAAATAATCGAGATCGCCAATCATCTGCCACATCACAGCAAAGTAGCCGTTGGCCAGCGGAGTCCCAGCTTTGCGCCACTCGGCAGTGTTTCTCGCGTACCTAAGGCCTTTGTGGGTTTTGTCGGCCTTGGGTTGCTTGTTGCGTTTGTTTCCTACATGCCATTATTTTTGTCGCACATCCATATACACAGTGTTGGCTCATATATAGCTACGCGTTGCAGAAGAAACGGGAAAACTATAAAACGTTTCTTGACCCCAGGAATATAATCGAGCACAAGAAACACTATAACTAATCTAGGGAAGATGTAGCCAGCTAGACCATAAAGACAAGCAAAAGCACCCTGGAAAAGAAGAAATCTGGAAACGACTTTTGGCGGAGAACTGCGTATCCTCATACACAAGGTGTGGTATATCCATACATGGGAGTTGGAAAGCCCCCGGATTTTTAGGGTGGATACAGAAACCTATTCCGGCTGACTACTTTGTTAAAAAATAAGAGAACCCAAGTTTGACGGCGAACTGTGTATCTGCTATACGCATACATGGGAATTGGAAAGCCTCCGAGTTGTAAGGGTGGATACAGAAACCTATTCCGGCTGACAACTTCTTAAAAAAATTAAGAGGTCCCAAGTTAAGAGAAACCAAGTTGCAGCCTGCCTGTGTGGTCAGGGTCAGGCCAGACGCCACGAAACAGCCACAGCAAACTCCACGCCAAGAGCTTGAAGAAACTGTGGAGCGTGTTCCTTCCCTCAGCTTTGACCCGCAGTTTCTCCACACAGCCATAGACCCACATCATCTTGTCCTTTGTGGATCGGTCTATGGAGAGAAGGCTGAACCAAGAAA